CATATATTATATATATATATATATATATATATATATATTTATATATATATTTATTAAAAATATGTAAATACAGTCTTAATTAGTAAATTTTAATAGTTATTTGCACAATTAAATACTTTTATAAAGATTAAAATTCTTTTAGAAATAATCGTAGAAAATTTGATATATATTTAAATATAGAAATATATTTTTGAATATAGAATTTGAAATTTTTTACTCATACCAATATTTACATTGAAAATGAGAATTTTAATTTTCATTTATTTCATTTATTTATCAAAATTTACTTTCTTGTTAATATAACTGAAAAATTTCGCAGCATTTCAATTAGTAGAAAATATTCTATTTGAAGTTTTTTGTTGTTTTACTTTAATAAATGAGCAGATCAAATTTCGATTAACCTACTCTCTTAGCTTTGAGCTCATGCACATATCGAAAATTAAACTAAACCATACGTTGGTCAAAGTGATTGTTAATAATTAAATGCTTTTCTTCCCTAAATTGTGTATATTTATTTTATTTTACGACATATGTATATGCTTGAATAATTAATATCGAATACTATTCGGACAAAGAGCAGAACGTCATATAAAGGTCGGTAGTTAGTTTTTCCGCATTGATTTTCATATATCTTTGGCTTTGCAATTTTCCGTGGATAATATTGTTGAAATAATGGTTATGAAGACAGAATATGGTATAGAATACTCGTGCGTCATGAAAGAAACTCATTAGGTCAAAAAGTTTTCAATTTCTACACAATTCAAATGTAATACTGACGGTTGTAATACGTAAGCCTAGGGAAATCTTTTTGTTGTAACATTTACAAATAACTAATATATATTTAGGCGTAGATGCAACGAGCTAACGGCTGTTGTTGTTATTATAATTATTATTGTTATTATTATTGTTATTGTTATTATTATTGTTATCCTTATTATTATTATTATTATTATTATTATTATTATTATTATTATTATTATTATTGTTGTTGTTATTATTATAAAGAATATGTAAATGGGTAATTATTTTGACTTCTGTTTCACTTCTGTTTATGTACTGCAGTACCTTATTCATCACAAATTTATTTGAACAAATAGCTTCAATATTCAAATTTTAATTAATTATTGTCAGAACGTGCTTGTTTAATTAGAAGACAATCTATATTACTAAAAGCTTTTTTTTTTTAACTTTACAGGCCTCTTATTTAAGAATAAAGATAGAATATAAAAATATTTTCTTTTATTCAAAAAAAGATTCTTTTTATTATGTATAACAAAATAGTCATCCGAATTCAATAAAAATACTATTATTCGATGAAAAAAATTGATTATAAAATAAAGAATTGAAATTTACGAGCAATTTTATTTCATTCTGATTTTATTAAAAGAGCACTTGCAGGCTAATAAATTCATTATGTTAAAAATGAATAATAATATAATAATTGAGGTTTATATCGTGTAATTATGAAAGTATTTTTAAAATTTCGATATTTATCTTTACGAGTTTGACATGTACATTATTAAAAAAAAAAAAAATTTCTAATTAATTTTTGAACTCGTAACATAAGTTTTTTTCTGTTTCTTATAAAAATTCTTTTTTTCTTTTTTTTTTTTTTTTTTAAGTAACAAGAATCGATATATTTTATGTTAATTAAAATAGAATATAAATCAATTTTATTTATTTACCAACGTCTATTAATAATCTAGAAAAATATAAATAATGGATATAATGGATCATATATGTCTGTTTACATATTACATAAAATATATAAATGAATCAAATATTACTTTTAAATATATTTTTTGTGTCTGCTTCTATATAGTTCCTACGTATGTATTGTTTATCAATACTCTTTTCTTCATCTTTTATTCGTCTTAAGATTATTGATAATCGTTGATAAACCAATTACATTGAATTATTTTCTATCTTTACATAACACACATTAAGGAAATATCAAGATATGTATATTTTATGATTTTGCAATAATTAAAATACAGGTCATGTTATACATATTTAATAAAAATGATATATGTTTAATTAAATATTAAATATTTTATAATATTATTAAATGTTTATTTATTTAAAACGATCACTTTCCTCGTATTTATATATTGTTTACCTATATGCACATAAGTGGTATAGACAACATAAATAGAAAGAACAAATTGCTTAAGTTAATTATGGATAAACGTGTCATTTTCTATTTACGCTACGGATAATTTTTCAGATAAGATGTTGTGATTATTTTTCTCGAATCATTCTTGAGACATAATTCGAACAGGAAACTACATAAATTTAGTAAGAAATAAATGCTCAAATTTTATGATATTATAATAAATCATTTGTGCTGGAAAAATATAATTCAGGAAATGGCATTGAAGGAATTATTGAATCATGAAAATAAAATGGTTGAACTATAAAATATAAGTATAGTCAATTCTACTAAAGATACAGATGAAATAAAATAAATTTTTAATATCATATGATATTGACAAAAATTATAATTACAAAATGTAAAGTAAATAGTTGTATAATTAATGAAATTGATAGAAGCATAATTTTTCTATATTATATTGTATAATTTGAAGTAAAGAATTTATTAAGAGAAACGTCATTGACGAAATGTAATGTAAAAGTTCTACTAGTATCATGTAACACTAACATGTATATAAAGTTTCAATTAATTTGTATAAAATATACAATAAAATGTTTTTAAATAATCGAATGCTTTTATTTCTATATCAATTAACTTTAATGCAGGAGATGTATAATTTTGCATAATATATAATTAATTAAAATGCTTAATAAAGCATCATAAATACATTATTTTATTCATTTCACTATTTCATCGTATGTTAATTTATAGTTTTAAGTATAAAATGAAAAAAAACTTTCCCTATTATATTGATAATAAAAGCTTCTCACGATATTTTTTTTATATGATACCATTCATGTCCATTATGTTCTTTTTTCATTCGCAAACAAAAATACTTTAATTAAACTGCGATTCTATGATATTTTCAACATTGATATATTCTTTGCAATCTTCATAAATTTGTTATAGTATCTGCTTAGCTAATCGCTATATTTAATGGATTTAACAAAAAACAATTTAGTTTATACTTATTATAAATTAAATATAAAAAAATATTATTATCCATAATAATATTTTGAATAATTTATTAAGTCCTTAGAATTTGTATGGATTTACAATTTTAGGATGATTGAGAAGTATGAGGTTTGCATTAATGAATGTCTTGTTTAATGATT